AAGCCGTTACTTAGCTCAACGCTTTAACGGTACCCTCAAACAGATGCTGAGGACCTTTACAGATACTTGCAGAGACTGGGAGAGGTTCCTGCCTCATCTGTTATTTTCCTACAGAGAGGTGCCCCAGGAATCTACTGAGTTGCTGTATGGGAGAAGGGTCCGCGGACCCCTAGATCTCATTCGAGGCCACTGGGAGGGGGAGACGGAGCAGGAGGGGACCCCCATAGTGCCATATGTTCTGGAACTCCGGGACCGCATGGAGAAACTGTCCCTGATGGTAAGGGAGAATCTCCAGGCGGCCCAGGGGAGACAGAAAAGATGGTACGATCAGGGTGCCCGACAGCGGGTCTTCCAGGTTGGGCAAAAGGTATTGGTGCTTAAACCTGTGAAGGCCAGCAAGATGCAGGCATCTTGGCAGGGCCCGTACAAGGTAGTGGCGCAGATCTGCGACACTACTTACTTGATAGCCAGCTGTGCAGATGAAAGGATCCAGCGGTCCTTTCATGTGAACATGCTGAAAGAGTACCAGGAGAGACCTGAGAATATTGCAGCAGTATGTGCCCCAGCTGCAGATGATTCTGAGAACTTACCCCTTCCAGATCTATTAGAAAGGGATTCCCAAACTGACCTTACTACCCTTGTACAGCTAGGGGACCGGTTGAACCCCACAGAAAGGGTACAGGCGCAGCAGTTGTTATGGGAGAAGCAGGCGACGTTCTCCCAGGAACCAGGTTACACCACCCTAGCTGTGCATAAGGTAGAGACCCCTGGACAGACCCCGTTACGACAGCCCCCCTACCGTATCCCTGAAGCAGTCCGTGAAGGAATGCGGAAGGAGATACAGGAGATGACCCAGCTTGGGGTTATCGAGCACTCCGACAGCCCTTGGGCCTCACCTGTAGTCCTGGTGCCAAAGAAGGATGGGACCACCCGGTTCTGTGTGGACTACAGGCGACTCAACGAGCGGACCACCACTGACGCCTACCCAATGCCCCGGGTAGACGAATTACTAGATCGTATTGCCAGGGGGCGATATCTGACCACCATAGACCTGTGTAGGGCTACTGGCAGATCCCCCTGGCCGAGGATGCTATCCCCAAGTCGGCATTTGTCACCCCATTTGGCCTGTACCAATTTAAGGTCATGCCTTTTGGGATGAAAAATGCACCGGCTACTTTCCAACGGATGGTGGATAGACTCCTGGATGGCTTCCAAGAATTTGCCAGTGCATACTTGGACGACATTGCGATCTACAGTGGGTCCTGGGAGGAACACCTGGTACATGTAGGGGTAGTGCTGGATAAGATTAGGGCCGCTGGCCTGACATTGAAGCCAGAAAAGTGTCATCTAGGTATGGCTGAAGTACAGTACCTGGGTCACAGAGTGGGGTGTGGGAGCCAGGGACCGGAGCCAGCCAAGGTAGAGGCAGTGGCTAACTGGCCCACACCTACTACTAAGACCCAGGTATTGGCCTTCTTGGGGACGGCAGGGTACTACAGACGTTTTGTCCCTGACTACAGCGCTATCGCTAAGCCCCTGACAGACCTGACAAAGAAAAACTTGCCTAAGCAGGTCCTGTGGTCTCCGGCTTGTGAAGCTGCGTTCCAGGCACTGAAGCAGGCTCTTGTGCATGCCCCTGTCTTGGCTGCCCCAGTCCCTAACAAACGCTTTCTCGTCCATACAGATGCTTCCATGTATGGACTGGGGGCTGTGCTGAGCCAAGTTGGGGAAGATGGAGGAGAGCACCCTGTCGCATATCTCAGCAGAAAGTTGTTACCCAGAGAAGTGAGTTATGCGGCAGTGGAGAAGGAGTGTTTGGCTTTGGTCTGGGCATTGAAAAAGTTAAGTCCCTACTTGTATGGGCAAGAGTTTTCCCTTGTGACTGATCACAACCCACTCGTTTGGCTTAACCGGGTCTCAGGAGACAATGGGAGACTGCTGAGATGGAGCTTGGCCTTGCAGCCCTACAATTTTACCATCAGCTACAGACCCGGTAAGCTAAATGGAAATGCAGATGGGTTGTCACGACAAACAGACGTTTCCATCACCTCGTAGTCCGGTCATCCCCAAGTTGACCCGCCACAGGGTCAAGCCGGGTCTGCCGGAGTGTCCCACAAGTAGGGAGCCGTGTGACAGAACCATCTGTCTGCTGGATTTTTGCCC